TACGGTGATATTTCCAGAGCATGGCTTAGATTTCAGCATGTTCAGAGAGGCCGGGAAGCTAAAAGACACCCTGACCCTCTGTACTATAGGAAATGCTCCTTGGTTTGGATTTGGCTTATGCAAAATGGGTTGTCCACACAGGAAATATAGCCGGGTCTGCACCACCCCGACGTCGAGCCTCTGCTGGATTGGTCATCGCTGTAGCTTTTGCTATCATCTACACATGCTGCAGGGCTTTAATCGGAGGCTGGGATCCCCAGTGGCACGCAGCAAGCTGATCCTCCACACAGAGGCTGCGGCAGAAAGATGGACTTTGCAGGACGCTGTAAAGCACTGTGTGATACGCTGAGCTGAAAGATGAAGTGAAAAACGCGTGTCCACAAGCCCGATGCTGCTGCTGCCTCTGCGGTCCTTCCCCCCTTCCTGCACCCCGCTGCTGGGGACGGAGTCCACACTCCCCTTTACACCGCTGCTGCTGCAAGGGACTGAACGTCGGGAGCAGACACCCAGCTGTGGCAGCAGCAGGGAAGATGCGGGAGGGAGAGGTGGGGAAACGTGCTGGAGGAGATGGTAGCTGTCACCTCCAAGAAGCTCGGAAGGTTTGAAAAAAACTGGTTCGCATATGGAACTGAAACTGAACCAGGGGGAATTCACTGAGAGCACTAAGCGGTGGCCACCAGCTATTTAAAGCTTCTTATGCATCTGATGTGCAGCTGGGCATAAAGAAAGGGTGTGCCTGCAGCTTGCACAGACGTACCCATGACAGCTTTGAAACAGGGCTTTTGAACACTGCTAGGTACAGCTGCAGCAGCCGAGAGGTCAGCATGGGCTAGAAACCACCCAAGAAACCAGGGAATAGTTGGGGCATTTGAGGAGGGAGCAGACATGACTGGTGCCCCTATCAGCCCTAGCTAAACAGCAAGCGGGACCGCAGCCAGGGAGCTTGAGATTATTTCAGGAGCCAGTCAAGACTGGACAGGAACTGCAATCGCGGTCTCGGAGACAGACACACAGAGCTATTACACAACCTCCAGCCAGGCTACCCACTTCTCAGCAAGAATTCAAACTAGCTAAGAGATGCGTCGGCATGGAAATGACCCCTATAACATTGGTCCTTCATACAGGACAAGTCTTCCTATACCATGCCTTGGTTCCCAGGGAGGTCTGAAGCCAGAGTTGTGAATGCCTGCAGGCACAAGAGGAACCCAGGTCCTCCCACAAACAGGGCTCCTGGCTGGTGGCAACCATACCCTGGCTTAGGTTGTCCTGTTCTCCCTCGTTCCGCCCTCTGTGTTCAGATGGATTCTGCCTAAAAGCGGCTGCGGTCTTATTTCACCAGTGCTGGCCCCCCATGATTTTTGTTTTCAGAGCATGGACCACATTTTAATAGAGAGCAAAGCATGTCGAACACCTTCTTATTTCCTAGCACAACCCTTGCAACATTTGTACAGCGCTCTCCTGGCAATGGCTGCGATTGCTTACATGGAAAAGTCCCATTAAATAAGTGTTTTAGCACTGGACTTTGGTTTTGTTTTTCAAACTCGGTTTGATGGGATGAACCAGTGCTGCAAATCTCTGAGGCGCTCTGGCAGGCATTTCCAAGACCCCTGCCTGGCTCTGAGCTGCTATTTGAGGTCCTTTGCACAGCGTTTTAACCCCTCTAGACGCTCCTGCCTGGGAACCTGTCTCTAGTGCCCAATTGCTCGCCGCAGAGATGGTTTTCTAACTGCCTAGCCTGAATTTGGTTTTATGGTCCTAACACCAGGCTTTACTACTCCGAGATAATTAGAGCAAATCCCTTCCCTCGCTTATATTGTTCCCTTGAAGGTATTTGTAGGCAGAATGTTTGTCCTTGCTGAAAAAAACTCCATGCGCTTCCCTCTGCGGTCTCCCCCCATACCTCCTTGGATTGCTTTCATCAACTAGGCAGACCGTTGCATAGCTGGGTCATCTTTCTGCTCCTCTGATCTCCCTTTGGGAACAGGATCATCTCAGGACTCCAGAAAAACCCCATCCTGCTGAGGAGCAGGCAAGGGGCTGCAGCCACCCTCCAGACATGCTGCCCCAGCTGGGGCTTGGAGAGCATTGGGGGATCCTGGCTGATCCCTGCATGGATGCTGGGACTAATCTTGGTGACAGCAAAGGGTGAAGGGACTAGGAGAGGAGGGAAAGCTGGCGAGTGTCCAGCTGGGATATTCAGGGGGGCCTGTCCCCCCTGCTTTCAATCTGTTGCAGTGGTGCCAGCTAATGGAATTTAACATATTATTGGCCAGATTCTACTTTCTCTGCCTTGAAAACAGTCTTTGTGACTGCTGCAGGTTGTTTTCAATAGCTTTTGGCTTACGAGATCTTTCTTTTTCTATTAAAACGAAATAAAATCGTTAAAATTTTGATTAAATTAAACCAAATGGACTTTGTTCTCCACTGGAAGCTGTTTATGTAACATCTGCTTTAAATATCTTTAAAACTCAGTCCATTCAACTGTGCAAAATAAAATGGTGAAATTACAATATTTGCTGTGATTTTTAAAAAAAAAAACATCAGACCGTACCCACCTCCACCTGATTCAGTCCCCAGGAACAAGTTTAGCCCTGTGTGCGCAATGCAGCCCCGGTGCGGCCGGTTGGACTGATGTCTGCCTGGTTCACACAGCTGGCAAAGACTGGGCAAAATAATTTAAAACTACTTTTACAAATTACTCTTTTCTCAGATAAAAACCCATTAGTAAGCAGACTTTGCAGTGTCCTTGGCATTAAATGCACGGTGTTCTACATCAGATTAGATACCCAAGCTCACGTGTATTCCTGGGACAGCCTGTGCGGGGCTGAAGAGTTTCCCCGTACCGGGAACGCGTGCCTAGGTGTTTCTTTCAGGATATTTAAGAGCTGCGTATGCGTATCAGGGTAGGCACGGGGGCTGCACAGACAAGCCCCTGACTGCCTCGCAGGCAGGCAATGATGGGTTAAAGAGTCCACCTCTATCCTGCGCGGGAGCTGGAGGGGTTCTCGTGGGTGACCCCGCCGCTTTGGCCCCCCGCTTCCCAGCCCACCTCCCTTCAGCCGCCTGCCCGGGCGCCTGTGTCCCGCTTTCTCATAACCTCCCCTGCCTCCTCCTCCTCTTTATATATTCATGAAGTGGTAGTGACTGGAATAAATGAAAGCTGAGCAAGCCGGAACGACAGCACAGGAAGAGGAACTGTCTGCGCCAGCGGGTGCCTCGCTCTGCACCGCCGGGACGGATCCTGCCTCTTTATCTTTGCCGGGACAGTGCCGGCTTGCAAGAGAGATAACTGTTCCCTGATCTCTCGGGCGGCAGCTGGATGAGCTCTGGATGCAAGGAGGAGGAAAGTTAACAGTAAGTGAGTCAGTCTCACCAGGGATAAGATAGTGCCTTCTAGGATGTTTCCTTCGCTAAGTTCAGACCCAGGCCTGACATGGGGCTGCATCTACCTCCCCCCCACCCCGGCCTCTGCTCCCTGCAGTTTGCTCCCCCAGCACATCTTCATCGCCTGGGACCCACTGATGGGGCGGAGGCTGAGGGGCTGGAGGCACCACGGGTGGAAGAGAGGCTGGAAGCAGAAAATGTGCAAGCAGGGACTTACTATGTAATTCACAAGGGACCATTTCAAAATGTTGAGCCTTTCTCCAGCCTGCTTTGGTCTGGAGGGATTGGTGTGGAGGGTCACTAAAGCCTGGTGTTGAAGGATTATATTACAGCTGTGCTTTTTTGGGGAAAGGCAGAGTTCTCGGGGTTCACATGTGCCTGTCTCCTGTGACTTCTTACTACTCCCGTGGTCTCCATCCATCCTCTTTCTTTTGGGATTGCAAGGAAGGGACACACCTCTGTTGCTGCAGGGGAAGCCAGGGGTTTTCTGCGCATAAATTAACCCCTCTGATAGCTGGAACATACTATAGGGGTGTGTTGTCGTTTAACCCCAGCTGGCAACTAAGAACCACAGAGCCTCTCACTCACTCCCCCCAGCTGTGATGGGGGAGAGAATCAAAGAGTGAAAGTGAGAAAACTCATGGGTTGAGATAAAGACAATTTAATACATAAAGCAAAAGCCATGTGTGCAAGCAAAGCAAGACAAGGAATTCACTCACTACTTCCCATCGGCAGGCAGGTGTTCAGCCATCTCCAGGAAAACAGGGCTCCATCACGTGTAATGGTGACTTGGGAAGACAAACGCCGTAACTCCAAACGTCCCCCCCTTCCTTCTTCTTCCCACAGCTTTATATGCTGAGCATGATGTCCCTTTGGTCAGTTGGGGGCAGCGGTCCCAGCTGTGTCCCCTCCCAGTCTCTTGTGCACCCCCAGCCTTCTAGCTGGTGGGGTGGGGTGAGGAGCAGAAAAGGCCTTGGCTCTGTGTAAGCACTGCTCAGCAGTAACGAAAACATCCCTGTGTTATCAACAGTGTTTCCAGCACAAATCCAAAACACAGCCCCATACTAGCTACTATGAAGAAAATTAACTCTATCCCAGCCAAAACCAGCACAGGGTGCAACAAGGTCTTGACTGTAAGGAATCAGGATCTGATTAGCTCAAGCAAAAACCAAAAGCACCTCAAGTGCTATGGCCCCCTGCTTCCCTCCCTGGGACGCTGGCAGCATGGCCAGCACCTTGTCACCAGCACCCCTTATTCTGAGGGGGCTCCATCCCAGCTTGCAAGCTGGAGTCCTGACCTCACCACTCCCCCACTCCAGGGCAAGACCTTTGCCAGATTGCAGGTCTGTGTGATGTGCTGCCAGCCTGATCCAGGGAGCAGCATCTCCTCTCCACCCTGCCCACAGCCTTGCTGGGTGCAGACAGCATCATGGGGAGTGCGTGAATGCATAGTCCTAAATACAGGGGACACAGGTACCAGATACTCTCCCAGTACTGAACATTTCATTAACACACTACTTCTGCAGGATGGGCCAGCAGATGGATCATTGCTAAGATGTCACCTTCTGACCTGTGCTAGTGCTCCAATTTTCTTTTATTCCCCCTCAGGTGCAACGCTAAGATGAAGCCTCCATCTGGGCAAGGCATAAGGCTGGCATACCTTCTCCTGAATTTGGCTTCCCTCTGCCTTCCCAGCCCACTCTGGAAGGACCGGGACTCCCTAATGCAGGAGGAGGAAGCCCATCAGACAGGTGGCAATTTGGTGCTCAGTAGACAGGAACAGCAGCTCAGTGCAAAGCTCGTAAACCTCAAGAAGGAGGAGATTGCAACAGCCATGACTACAGGACAGTTTCCTCCAAGCATGCACTTCTTTCGGGCAAAAGGCCTCATTGATCAGAGCACGGTCTTCAGCATCTTAAAGCGCATGCCAAAAGGTAGGCTTGGCCTAAGGGTTGCTCACCTTAGTCATCCTCCTCTCGCCTTTTGCTTTCTATGCCAGAGTTGGGACAAAGCATGAGGAGACGTGGCAGAGCTTTGGTTGCAGGCAAGCTTCTGAGAGCTGTAAATCATGCTCGCTGGGTTCCAGGAAGAGCCCTGCCTCTGAGCTTGGGGACGGGGCAGGGGGAGAGAGGAAGAGGGGGTTGGATTGGATGAATACACATTTCCAGCAATTGTAGCATTTGCTATAACTTACAATATGAATCCTTCAGCCTTTCAAGCATAGAGAAAAGGCAGAGGAAGCGAAGACAAGCCATCACAGACACTCATTTGTTCAGCATGTTCCAGCCAGGGCCCTTCCTTTTTCCACACATACCACAAACATGCTACCAACCTTGCACGTCGAAGTTGTCCTAAGAAGTTGTCCACTACTTAGCTAGAAGTGCTGTATCCCCCAATAAGTTTTTGTGCAGGTGGTTCTGTAGCAGGCCTGAAAATCTACTGGAAAGTCCGGGGGCACTAGAGGAGGAAGGTGCTACCTCCAACACTGCAAGTTTTTTTTACTTGTTGAATGGAAGTCAAAGCCTGTGTTGATGTGACCTGCAGAATATGATATAGAAACTATTCTATTGTCTCACTTAGTCTTTCTTAATCAGGTTCTGTTCTGTGCACTTATAGGAGATCTCTGCTTATAAGGGCAGGCATTTCTCCTCTTGTCTTTAGTTTAGAGATGTCATTTCATCCCTGTTGTGCAGCAAGCTATGTGCTAATGGGCTGCCATGCCCTATACCAAAAGGGGCTTCTGCACTCTGCAGCATGCACAGTTTTTAAGGCATTTGGAACATTATAGGTTAGGTGATGATAGCATGAGATTGTCTGATACCTTCACCACGTCACCCTGTGCGTCCTCCGATGAGCAGCTGGGACACAGCAGCATTTGAAAGCTCAGTACTCTGGGTTGTGATGGAAAGGAGGAGAGGATATTTTTAGCCAAGTGGAAATCCAAGCCACCTAGGCTGTGTAGCAGGAAGCCTGGTGTCTCCATATCCCTGAGCCGCTGACATTTCAGCAGAGAAGCAGGAGGTTGAGATGATCACAGGACGAAGGCCTTGACTCTTAACTGACTAGTTTCTCCCCCTTCAAGTAAGGAAACATTTGAACAAGGTGTCGTCTTCAACTAAAGATACGAGACAGTTGCAGCAGACATTGCCAATACCCCTGTGACTATGTCCACCCTTCCAGGCGGTCCCTCTTTAGATGCAGAGTCCCATGGCCTTGCCCACGTGGCTCCCTGGAAACAGGTTGGTGGCCTGCTTTGGAAGATTTGGGAGTCAGCTTCTCCACAGAAGCATTTTTTACTTACAAGGCTGTGACACTGGCCATGGATAAGAGCCATCTTCCTCACTTCCCAGCTTCTGCCTCCCAGCCCCTGGTATGGGATGAGGATCCTTGGCTTGCAGCATCCTAATCTGTTACCATAAATGATTGGGATGTCAGAGTTGCCATTACCCTTTCATTGCTGAATTGAATAGTAAGGAATTTAAAAGTACCTCCCTCTTCAATGGAGTATTGTCCTGGTTTTGGCTGGGATAGAGTTAAACCACGACAAGTATCTTTGATACTAAGGAGCAATCAAAACAGAAAAATTGACTTTTCAATCCAGGAGATGCTAAAATGGGTTCTCAGAATCTTTGCAAGAGCTGTAAGCTTTTAGGGCCAAGATCACATCCTTGTAACTGCTTGAGTAGGACCTAGCCTTAGAGGCTTCAGTCTTGATCAGAGCCCCTGGCAAATTACTGTTGTTTCAAGCACTATTGTAATTTCTGTTACTGCTCACGTAGGAAAGAGGGTGGCATTGCCAGTGAGAGGAGGGTCAGATCTAGACAGCTGTGGCATGCCCGTTCTGTCACGCTAGCTCTGGTAAGAGCAGTAACCACAGTTGCTCAGCATCTTAACAGTCAGACCCTCTGTAGTGAAACATTATAGACATTATAGTCTATATTAGATGAGACCACTATAGATGACAGTCTTGAAGTTTGTCTAATGTCACATGCATACCAGTCCTTTTGTTTTGTTTCTCCTACTCATGTTCACCTTTACCCCTAAGAGCGTCAAAGCTATTTTGACTATGAGGTCTCCTCTAGGCTAATAAAATACATATCTATAAGACTTCAGCTCTCACAGTATCTTCCCTTAACAAAGGTGAAGTTTAGTTCAAGCACCAATAATGTAAGAAGTCTCTGCCAAAGAGAGATTTTAGCAAAACGAAAGGATGGGTAGAGCATGCAGAAGATACTTCCTATGCCAGGAAGACTGGCAGTTGCCAACATTCTGCACAATAACAGAGCATCCCAAAGGCCCTTCGTGCTGGCCAGCAACAGATGTACGACGTAAGTGAGCGTGCTTTTGATAAGGCATAGAAATACATGGTACTTCTGCATCTGAGTGCAATTCCCCGGTGTGTCATGGTCTGGGATCTTGGTGTACGCTAGAGTTTCAAAGAGATGAAAGAAGAGACACAGACTAGATGCAAAAATTGAGGCTGGGATTCAAACAGCTTAGATACAGAGGCTTGCTTCAGGTCTGCTAGTCAGCTAGTATGCCTTGTAAACTGCTGCCTACTGTGCGAGTTCCTCTTTAAATCAGTGGGGCCTGAGCCAGCTCAGAGCAAAGTCTGTTTGAAAGACCTTTAATAACTCGGAGCATTTTCCATCCCAGTGGAGAAGCAGAGCTCCCTATTGATTTCCCCCTCCCTCTGCTCCCAGGGAGCTGTCACGCTCTGCCTGCCCCACGTTTAATGTGGAGGGGGCCACATCCCCCAGCATGGGGGAGGCAGAGCTGCCGCTCCGTCTCTCTGCTGGGAGAGGTCACTCACAGCCATCTAGAAGCATTTCCAGATGCCCTTGGATGGGCAAACTCAAACTATTATCACATCAAAACTCCGTTCCTTCTTTTCAGCTGCCTTGTCTCATTAGGATATACTTTTCTTCCCACCAGGTGCTGTCTTACACCTGCATGACTATGCCATCCTGAGCGTGGACTGGCTGGTGTACAATGCCACCTACCTCCCCGACTGCTACATCTGCTTCACCCACACAGGCACCGTCCGGTTTCGCTTTTCCAAGCCTCACCCTCCTCACCCAGTGCCAGCCCAGTGCTCCCAGTGGGTTTTGCTGGAGACTTACCGGAAACAGCTGCGCAATGTGACCGAGTTCGATAGCAGGTGAGCGAAGGGGAGTTGCAAGCCTGCCGGTACTTCATGAGAGCATGGTGTAGCCAACAGGATCATTCTGGTCTAACTTTCCCATTTGCTTGTTGCTCTGAAAGTGGGCAAATCTCTTTAGGGCTGCATACATAGAACAAGCAAATAGCAATATAAGAACTTGTAGCTTGCAGCACTAAGTACACCAGAGTTAGAGACCATCAAAATTGTAGTTTTCTGTGCACCCTCGCTCTGGTCCTTTGCACAGACATGTTGAAGACAGTGGTTTAAGTAGATATATGTGACCTGCTCCCACCTCTCCTCAGCACCTAGGCTAGATATGCTCCCAGCATGGGACAGGGCTGCATGGTAAAAGACCTTGTCTCATCCATTGAGGTACCTAGGAACAGGATGAGGAAGTCAGGTAGCTGAGGAACAAAGCTCTCCCCAACAGCAGAGCAGCCATTTGTAAAGTCATCATCTTGATTCAGAGCAAGAAGTTGGGCAAACTACTTGTGCTAGTTACTGCACTACCAAAAAAATCCAAAGCAACCCAACAGAAAACGCAACCCAGCCTCTCCCTCCAAACACCATCCTTATTTTCTGAGGGCTCTCTTTGAAACCCCACTAGTACCCACCATGCTGAAGCATGGGGCACTCATTCCCAACAGGACCCTCAGGCACCAGGAACTGTGACTTGCCCTCCTCAGACAAGGGGTTACGTCTCAGCCTGGGCACTGGCTGAGCCAATGAACCCTACACACAGGTCCTCTGCCTGGTAGCACTCCCCTCTCAACACCCTCCTGCTAACAGGCGAGGCCTCCTATAACTGTCCAGGAGCTCACACCTCAGATGGTTCCCCAAGGCATCACTTACTCTCTTGCAGGAGCTCCCCTCCCTGCAGGCAGCTCCTACCTTAACTGCTGGCAGCCTTTTATCAGGATCAGGTGTTAGTTGGCTGCTCACCTACCATTTAATCACTTACAGGTGGGTGGGAATAGCCTGGCTCCCCCTCCAGCCGGTGGTGGCAGGAAAATGGAGCCCTGTCTCCCCATCCAGGGGCCATTGATCCCGGGACAAAGCCCTGCCGAAAAGGCCAGGAGGAAGCATGTAGTTCGGCACGGCGTCGGGGGTGGGGCTGGAGAGAGCACGCTAAATAATGCATGAAGTCAGACACTGAGTGATGAGGATAAAGGAAAATATTGAGTAGTGATCCATTCAGAGGGCACTGCCGTCCGCGGTGCTCTGGGGGGCTGGGGTCCCACGGAAAAAAATAGTACGGGGTGTCATGTAATTAAAGACAGTATAGCCATAGCAACACACGAGCAGAAAGCTGGATTAAGCTGATGCGTGTGACCCTAATTACGGCATTTCCTAAGTGAAACTTCATGGTTTTTACTGTAGTGCTCTTCAGTGAGGGTGTGTGCTCTTAAATAGAGACCTATCAACCCTTAGGGAGCTGGTATCCCCTCCACATGGAAGCTGCCTGGGCTCTGTGCCCTACGGATCTGGGAAGGAGGTCAGGTTGGGAAGCTGAGGAGCTGCCAGACCTTTAGCATGGTATTGCCTTCCCTCCCCAACAACAGCAAGGGGCAGGGCAGAGGGAGCTGACTCTCCGGGGCACCCACCGCTCCTCTCCTGCAGAGGTCTGAGCACTTCCAGAAGGGAAGGAGAAGGTAGTGCCAGATCCAGGGTTTTTGACCTTTTATACTCTGAGGCTCAACTGCCCTGACATGTGATGGAAGAAATAAGATCCAGTGAGAAGTCACTTATCTACGTCTTCCAAAGAGAAAACTGGTTGCCCATTAGCTCCCTTCCATTTCCACTGGGAGTGATGATGAGGGAAAGACCATGGCACCAGCTCTCTTCAATCCCACCAGGAGACCCAAAAATAATGTGCAAGAGATTGGATTTTGAAACAGCTTCACTTCCTTAAAGCCCAAGCAATTGCTGTGGGTATTTCAGAACCATCTCAGGAGCAACCCTCCATTGTATTTGTTTTCAGTTGTATTTCCGTAGCGTGATGTCCCTTTCTGGCTGAGGCTAGGGGCCACAGCATCCTATACACCTAGGAGGGTGGAGCTGTACATTGTTTGGTTCCCTATGGTCCTGTTTGGGAACACGACTTCTTTTCAGAGGCAGTGTAATCACATTCCTCTTCTTTTGTATTAGTTGTCCGACAACGTCTAGTAGCCACAAGTCAGAGCAGGGCTTCAGAGTGGCAGGCACTGCATAGGGACACAAGACAGACCCCGCTACAAGGGTCTCCCCAAGGGCAGAGGGGAAACAGAGGCAGAGACCAATGAAGTGATTTTCCTCAGCAAATGCCTGCCAGAGCCAAGTACAAACTTGGATCTCTCGCATCCTGCGTGCTCAGACTTACTCATTTGAGTAGGTCGTCCTTCATTTCTTGCCCTTCTGTGCTCATCACCACAAAATCGCAGAGGAGTCATTGCACATAATGTGCAAACATATGAACAACAGCCACATTGAGGCGCTTCCCCTCCTATTTTCATCTAATCCCTGGGTACTAGTCTAGGGGTTAGGAATGTTTTTTGGCCGCCTGGAAATAGGTCTCTAGCCAGGAATAGGCCCCAATCTGTTCTGCTTCTCAGTTTCTGGAAACTCTCCCAGTCTCTTGAACATGTGCATCCCAGGCTACCTCTTTCCTGCACTCCTCTTTGCCCTTGAGCACTGACAAGCTGAGAGAAAGCAGATGTCAGAGGAAGGAACGGATGGATAGTTGGGTGGTTTCAAGGAAGTATCAAGGGAATATGGCAGCAGGGAAGGGCTCTCATGTAAGACAGGGTGGATCAGCAAACGTCTGGGGAACAATGGAAATGTTTCTGAGAGGCTGCACCTCTTTCACCTTACTGGATTCCTGACCAGGAAGGAGAGAGGTATCTGCATCACATTTTTGCTGTTTGCATTTTTAGGTACATATGCATACATATACATACATGTGTGTGTGTTTTGGAAGGAAGTCTTTTTGTTTGTTTCCCTCAAAAGAAGGTTTAATCATTCCTATTCAAAACACACGTTTTATGGGCCAAGACCCTGGAGTATTCTGTTATTGGTAAGCTTCCAAAAGGAGAGTCAGGAGACTGCGGGCCAGGAGACAGAGAAAGGAAGGGAATTTTTCTTTGAGACTTAAAAAAACCCCAAACCTCACTTATTTACTTCACAATCAATTACGATATAACAGAATGCCATTTTTTTCCTCAAGATGCAACATAATGGCCACCATCTCTAAAGCAAGAGCATGCCCCTAGATATTTAGGGAAACAGCGCTGACATTCCAGATATTTGTAAAATACCACCGCGCACACACTCCCCGCCAGCAGCCCGAGGATTAAGGCCGTGCCCGGCAGCGCAGCTCCGGCGGCCCAGCGGAGCTCTCTATCACCAGGATGAAGTCATCTGTGAGGGAGCTGACACCACGGCCGAGGCTGCGGGGACAACTCCCCTGGGCGCTAACGGCTGCCCGGACCGCCCTCACCTTCCCCTCTGTGTCCTCCGGCTGCCTTATCTCACAGAAAAATAGGGCAGTGTGTGCATTACAAGAAAAAAAAAAGAATAAAAATCCACTATAGAAACAAAGCACTCCGCTCCCTCTACAAGTCTCCCCTTGGGGAGAAGAAGAGGGGACGAGAGAGAGAGAGAAAGCGAATGAACCACATGTGACAGATGTTAGTCACACTATTTAATGCACCACTGGAAGACATTCAGATACTACAGTGAGGAGAGGGGTATAATTACCCATTGAGAACAGAAAAAGAAGCAGGAAAAAGAATCCCTTTAAAAACAAGGCAACAAAACCATTTGCTCCTGCATTATATAGCGCAAGAAAGAAAAACAGTTAGGGGGAAAAAAAAACCAGAAAAAGAGAAAGCAAAACCACAGTTGAAAATAAATAATCCTTAGCTGGTCGTTTTAGCTGTGCCCCTTCGGGCATATGCATTGCAAGAGCATTGTTCGGTGCATATATGACATGACATGGAAGGCTATTTGTAGTCTGCACCTGATCACTGGCGAGGACCCATTCCAGAAAAGAAGCAAAAAAATGTGTTTATGAAGCTTTGCTTCATCTGCATGAGCTACTGATGGCAAAAGCCCCTGAACCCTTAGGAGATTATCCAGTTATCAAGGATGGATCACTATTACGCAATAAATCTTCAACAGTTATAGGGATCAATAATCAGTCTCAAAGTGAAGGGGATTATAAAAAAAGCATGATTTGATTTATGTGCTTTTAGGAGCAGGGTGGTGTGGGGATTTATTGCTGTTTCTAGCCCAAGAGCACAGGCTAAGTAAACAACCACAAGTTTGTACAGCTAGATTTAAAGGCAGGGAGGGGAGCCCTGTGCGCGCTCGTTGCTGGAGGAGCTGAGTTCTCACAGGACAAGGGGAGAAAGCGGTGGGAGCCCGACTAACCGCCCGTCCTTATCTGAAACGAAGCTGCGCGGGGTGGCGAGAACGGGCTTGCACGGCCTTTTGATCCACGGGGAGGTTTTTCCCTCGATGCTTGCAGGGCTGGTGGGAACAGCCCCGCTCGGCTCTCGGCTTCAGGCAGGTGCTCTCCGCCGGCCTGCGGGGCTGGCGGGGAGCTGCCCTTCGGCCAGGGCTGAGGCCAGGAGGGGAGCGGACAAGCCCGCTTTCCCCAGCTTTTCCCACACGAAACCTCCTCTCCCCTCCCCGCTGAGCTGCAGCACTCCCCCTCCGCTCCGGCAGCTGGATCAGCGCCTTCAAGATGCCCCTGGCTCCCGCATTCCTGGTTTCTAGGGTGATGCTACGGTGTCTCCCGCTGCTGCGTGCTCCCCGCTGCCCGCCCGAAACGCCGCCCGCCCCGGCTGTGGTCCAGCTCGGTCTGTTTAGTTGCATGGATTACTGAACAGTAGCTGGGGTTGCCCAGTGTCCTGTGATAATGGCACCAAAACCCCTATTGTAATGCGCGGGAGGGCAGAGCCGAAGTTGCTGTGGAAACCTTAACTCTGAATTTTCCTGACTGTTGAGCATTTAAAATCTCATCCTTAACGTGGTACGAGCGTCTCTTTGTGTACAGTTTTGCTTCTAAAATTGTTCCTGGCAAAAAAATTAACAGAGTGAAGAAGAAATGAAACTGCAGCCGCTGGAAGAGGGTCCTTAAGAGATCGAAAGAGCAGGCAGGTGCTGGGGGAATGGACTCCATTTTATGGACAGGATGGAGGGACTCAGAAGGGATGTACCTGCCCGGGATGTCTTAGTTTATGAGTTTGGACCAGATCACATTTTACGTCTGTAGGAGGAAGGTTTTTAATTCCATTTGCAGAAGCCTCCTGGAAGAAGATAATAAGAGCACAAATCAAACCCACATCTCCCATATAACAGAGCAGAGCGCTGCACGAGGATGGGGGGCAAGACATCAAACACGAAACATTATTAAAGATAATAGTAGCTGTTATTGAGGGGAAACAATATACTCGGATGAAAGATGAAGCATGGTTGAAGGTATTTCTATCTGAACCTGCTTAGCCCCTGACACCAGATAAGCATCAGGCCTGGCCGGACTGGTAAGCCCACCCGCCTGCAAGCACCCGGCTCTGCAGCTTGCTGCGGTGGCTTCAGTTTGTCCACTCAGGAATGAAGTTAATCACCTCCGTATTGCCATTCAGACTTTGCCTACCAGCCTGAGAAATGTATGACAAACTCTTCTTCAGGTGGCCACCGGCAGAGGGAGGAGAGCTGTTGCCAGAGGCAAGGCTTCGGGCGGGATGAAGGTTATCCGCTTGTCAGAGGACAGCGTGGCGGCACAGACGCTCGCCCTGTCCTAAATGCAAGCTGTCACCCGCAACTAGATAATCCTGCAATTACTGGCTCCCTTAAACTCTGCTCGATAAAACTACCCGCCGCTTCTCTGGATTTCTGAAAGAGGCTTATATGCCGGCTGATTCTATGGAGGAAATAAGTACGTTTCTGTCCCACTAAGGAAAAGCCAGAACCTGCGATTCTTATCAGTTGTTTCCCAGCAGACAAGTCTGAAGAAGTTATCAGCAAGGCAGGCAGGATATCAGATTTGCTCTGCTGGGGGGGTGGGGTGGGGTGGGGGGGAGGATTTCTGATTCGCAATCATTTTCCCCCTGCTTATATTAGGTGACATATTTTGACAACACGAAGGTACCTGGGCAAGTTACAGGCTTAGTAAGAAGATTAATGGTGGCCCAGTACGTGGCATCTCCTGGAGACTCTATCTGCCTTTAGGTGGTGAACAGAGGGCCAGGTGTCATAACTTTTTACATGCATTGAAAATGTTTGGGAGAATATATCGTCTGCAGGAGTAATGTACTAGCCTACTTTCAGATTAAGGATACCCCTGGGTAGCAGAGTGCAATTCTTACGATATAAAAACATCATACTTCCTTTTGTAACTCCATTACTCCTCAAGATTTTGCCCTTAAAAAAAGGAAGGGGCAGGTTTTGAACACCTAGTCTTACCCTGTTTGTAGCTCAACATGTAACATGTGACTTTTTACCTATCGGCTATTATCTGTACCAGCCATTAGAGGAGTAAATATAGGTGGCAGAAAAATGAGCTGAATGCTTCCTAGTTGCATCAGTCTTTGTTATGCTCATATGTATTGCAGTGGCAACAGGCTCTGAGTTAGATACTGGGCCCCTATTGTGGCAGGAACGGCTTTGCACCTTTTCCTGGTCCTGACCAAAGAACACGTGCCTCCTTCAGCACAGCCGGGCGCTGCTGCACCCCAGAGCACGCGGGTGGGAGAGTGTCACATCCACAAAGCTTGGTCTCTGACAATAAAACTCACACCTATCTTGTTTCCTCCTGTACCAAACACCCAGCTGCCAGCCGGTGGCTTTTTGTATGCTGAAAGCCAGTTGACTTGTTTGTTCTTCTCATTCTTCCTCTTCCCTTTACCCTTTTCTGCAGCTTGCTGAGAAACTTGACCCTGGTGACAGATGCCCCTGAGCTGGCCTACCCTTCTCAGACTTCCATTTGGAAAAGATTTGAAGAAGTCTTTCTCATTGCCTCTGGACTTATCTCCTATGCACCTGTGTTCAAGGCCTATTTCTACCAGGGGCTGCTGGAGCTCTATGAAGATAACATACAGTATGTCGAGATAAGAGCTATCCTGCCTCCGGTACGTATTTTTTGGCTTCTCTAGTATTCTTTTAAATCCTTATTTCTCCATAACTTTTCTCAAGCCCTATCTTGAATTTAGTTTTTGGATGTTTGCATACCTGCCCTTCTAAGGATGCTGGAAAACCTTGATCATATTCAAAGGTCTTTGTTGGAGATTTGCATAGGCAAGGGCTTGAAAGTGAGAAATGCTTTGTTCTTAATGGTTAAGGAAGATACCTACTGTGGCAACAGCACAAAACTGCATTGCACAGTCTGACTGGGAGCTGTGTCGAAATCTTGCTGTTTGGGAAGATGTATCTCATCTTTGTCTGCACCAGAAACACCTGTTCTGTGGCAGCTCTTCTGGAACAACTTCCTGTCTTGAATAGAGGCTTATTCTGGAATAGCTTCGTTATTTTAAATCCACAGCTTATTTCAGAATGATTTCTCTGAACTGGCTAGTAAATTGATTGGCAAAGCAGTCTTCCACAGTTTGCAGACAACTTAAAATTTTGGCTATGTATGTGAAGTATGAACTGCTCCTTTCATTGCCACCAACACTAAAATCTGTTGGTGATAGTTTAGGCCTTTCTTCCTTCGTGTCACCCAGAACCGGTCAGATTGTCCTACAATCGCAGGCTGCCCCAACGCCTTCCCAAGCACCAGCAGACCCCATCACTGTTCTTCGGCTATAACGGTTCCCGCTTTCCCGGTGGCAAGTTCGACACTGCAAGCACACCTTTTCCATACAGTTCTCCAGACCAGCTCCAAGTGGGGCAGTGTGGGGTGGGAGCTCTGTCAGAGAGCCAGATGCCTCACCAAAACAAAGGAACCAGGGCCACTGCTCCTCACTACACCACCTACCTCCTTGTTCTTAACAGTCCATTGCAACGGGAATGAAGCTGCTGTGCAAGGTCCATCCGGCAGCACCTGAAGGACAAGGAGGTGGTGGCGGGTTGTGCGTGGGAATGCAGGTAGCAGCTTGCTGCTGGCACCACGGCGTCCAGCGGATGGAGCAGCC